GTTACATGCTATTCTATTGTTAAATCTGGCTTTCCACTCATATATGTTGTAATAGATGTACTATATCTGACAGTAACGTACAACACTGACTATATTCATTATTTATTTCAGCAGAAAAAACATCCATACTCGAAAAATTGAAACAATTATCATGTCACTTCACTTGGAAACTGGAAGAAAATTGTACAGGTGATTTCAAGGTAAATGTGTTTTGCAAATGTGTAACAGTGATCAATCTATGTTTGCTCATTATTATGTTCGTTGTCGGCGCTGTCAGAATATTGAGTTATGTAATCTGGCTTCCCATTGAATTTATTTATTCAGTGATGATGAATTTAGGTTAGGGTCACATGAGTTGATGCCGATGTCAGCAATATGATTGTTTCATAGTAATGGAAATGGGTCTATTAGAATACCCACAATATTTATTAGAAATGTATATATAGTATCGTACATTTAGAACGTACCAAGAACACAAGTTTTTTTTATCACATAACTGTTTTATTCATCAATAGAAGTACATGGAATCTATAGACCATCATTTGCTGACTACTCCAAATGAGATGGGAGTTCCTTCTAAAGCATTGAAGTCATACCTCTTCTTGTCAGATCTGAAAGGAAATTCAAAGGACATAGAACGAGCTGAGAATTGGATAGACGAAGCTTCGAATGATAACATTATGGAGCTAGAAAACAATGATTGGGCAATGGGTGACAAGGTTGTTCTTTTAGCAGATAAAGCATGGATTGCATATTATCGTGGTGACTTTGAGAAGGCCCATCGATTCATTATTGAAATAGATGATGTTCTTCCACAATTAATAGAGAAAGCATATGCATGTCGATTGGCTCATGAAGCTTTCGCGCTACAGTGGTTCGGCAGTACACACTATGAACATGCCATCCAGTGTTATAAGCAAGCATTAAAAAGGTTCCCAGATAACATAGATTGGCTTTTTGGATATGCTAAATTAACTAACAAATCAAAAGTAGAGGAACGGTTGTTGAGACAGGTGTTAGCTTTAAATCCTAACCACGGGTTGGCAAGACTACATCTCGCGAGATGCGTTGTGAAGCGTTTGTCTGAGGCATTACATGATGATAAACATAATTTAATAGTTAATGTACTGCATAATAATTAATTGTTTACCACATTTTCTTATTAGTCTTAGTGAAAAATCTAAATTAAATGAATATCTTACAGTGATATATACATATGAAGGACAGAATCATTAATTGGTTATATGCATTTTTGTCCATATATGTCATTCTCTTAAATATCTTGTAATGTCAATATTAAGATTTTGTCAAGTTGTATGTTTGTTATCTTGGAATGTCGTTATAGATCTAGTTACATGAGGATTTTGAATTCAAATTTATTTGGTGTTAGAGCAAGTATTGGGGCAGCCTATTTGCAAACTCGCTTACGAATTAGTTAACTGCTTGGGTTTTGACTGAATCGTTGGCCCCCGGTTCTCACTGGCGCTGACTCATGGCTACGCCTATTCTTGGCGAATCAATATTACAGTCGAGAACATACGATTTTATGTAGTGGAATATAAATAAACGATTCTGTAAACCATTTGTACTACATTGTCTATGTTTTTTTCTTCTAATTATTTGAATATACTAAGATTGGAAGTAAATGTGGTCCCCCGATTGTATTTTAATGCAATATATTGTCCCTCACCCCAGGCGGAGTTGTCAACTACAAATTACTGAATTTGATGTTTGTGTTTACTTGAGATGTCTTGAGATTTTAAAACTAACAAATCTGTCAGTGCCATAGTCAACTACAGTGCATGATTACGCATGACACACATTTTTATAAATATCTGAAAGACAGCACAAAAACACACTATTCTTTGCTTCTGTGCAAATGAAATTCTAATAATTGTTAGTAAACGTGACAAAAGCCCAGGTCACGGCGAAATTTGAACTAATGAAATTAAAAAAAATATTTAATAATATTGTTTTTCACTGTTATCTATTATAAAATTCTAATGAAACTTGGTACATAGATGTTCTGGAATAATGCTCAGACCTGATTAGTTTTTGGTTAAAATCAAATATAATGCATATAATGCACTGATTTGCATATTAACTAGCTAGCAGATCTTAAACATTTTCGTGTAATATTAAACATATTTCAATGAAACTTGGTAATACTATAATGTTTAGACCTGATTATTTTTGTTTGAAATTGCCTAATTTGCATATTTATTAACCGTTTTTAAGCATTTTCATTTATTTCTCATGTAAAATTAAAGAGTAAATGTAAATGCTTAGGGATAAGCCATATACTTGTTCAATTTGGGGTTGAATTTTGTGTTTACTAATTTACTAATTTGCTTACATTAACCAATGTATGGGAGCTCCATAGACCACATTTTAATGACTCTAGGTATGTTTAGATAATCCACAGTTCCGATTACTTCAGGGTTGAGATCCATGCATATTAATTACTTGTTATTAGTTTCATGTGTGTTTCTCACTATGCATAACTATAATGTGCTGAGTACTGTTGCAGATAGGGAAATGTAACCGATGCTTTATTTTTTTTTGTCTGCCAAGATATATAACCAAAATATTAATTCATCATATTTGGTCATTATTTCATTAAGTATTCATAATTGTTAACCATAGCTATAATTTGCTCTATTACTGTAAACAATTAAAGACATAGACAAATCTATATTGTCGAAATAAAACACATTTCAATGATTTGCATCCATTAAACACAAATCTTTTTATGTGTAATGAAGATGTGCTTCTAATTTAGTAAATACAGTATTACTTAGTTGTCCTTCATGCTTCCAATTCGGGAGTTCTTTATAAGCTTTCTTTAATTTATGTTTTATAAATCTGATATTGTAGGGTCATGAATTTGATATCATGTTTATCCTTTACATCAGTTTCGCAGCTTTTAAATGAAATACAAATAACATGTGAATCGCAAATTGTCATTGTATTACGCCCCTCGATGTACTTATAATTATGGGGATGTGCTGTCAATATGCCCAGACCATCGACCCTTTTCAAACAGCCAAATTAGTTTTTGCAAATATTATCAATGGATAACATTTGTCTGTTCGAGTGCGATATATAATGCATTTTGCCACAAAGACCATATTCCAGTTTGTGGCGACATGACAGGGCTGTGTGACCATCTTCCTGTCGAAATGGCATCATGACAATTTATTGGCGTCATCCATATACCTGGGTGAACACAAGCACCTGCAGTCCTTAACCAAGGTGTTCCAAAGGTTGTTTGTGAATGAAATTCGGCCAGTTACTATTAATTTAGCCTTTCCATTGAGTTTGTGATACAAGTTAGAAGTCGACGCATTTTTAATGTTCCATCCAAGGTAGTATATAGCAGTCACGACTCAAATGCTAATGATAGTTTCTTTGTAGTAACATAGTAAACAAAATTTACATGTACACAACGTTTATCAAGATATCTATGAATAATCAAAGTCTAACTCGTATGCACTCAAAAACATACCGATACTGTTTTGGCAATACAAAGTTCTATCATGTATCAATTGTGAATGTCAATGTTCCATTTCCTACATGCACTTACTTACTGCCACGATATATGTAGAATACATATGTAATTTAATGCAAAAGCATCACACCTTGGAAGACTATCTCAGAGTAATGCCCCAAATCATTATAAGATGTATATGTTTTGTTTACCGGTATTTAAAATCAATTACTTGTATTATTAGGTAGGACAGGCACGTTTAAAATCAATACGATACTACTCTAAGACATAAGGGATTATGAGACAAAGAGGAGACAAAGAAGAGACAAAGCCATGTCAGAACGAAATTAACTGTAATAAATTGTATTAAAAAGGCATGGCTATCTCAGTATTGCATTTTGTCGTGGTGTTGACATAGATTTTTTTTTTGGTTCTAAACATATAGATGGCGTTTATCCTTTCGTATTATCAGTTTTTGAAGAAAGAACGATAGATGGTTTCCTCCTATTCACCAGAAAGAACCACTTAAGATGATCAGACTTTGAATAATTTCTATGGGATATATCACATCATATTGTAGATCTAATTTATCGATGTGGCAATTGTATAATAGCATTCGATGTTATAACTAATCATACAGGAAACAATGAAAAACAGGTTAATGACTTACTCCAAATAGCACATGCAGTGAAGGTGAAGAACATCTCCCAATCCTTCACCAACAAGCTTACTCATGAGGTAAAAATAAAAGTTGAAAAGCAATGTAGCAGAATCAATGAACCAGATGCGGAACTATTCCTTTTGACGAGTATACCAGGGAAACATCTATGTTGGACACTGTGATTAGAGAAGTTCTATCAGGGTTTGGTTGGTTAAAGTCGTTCCTTACATAGAATGCATATGCAAATTCGTCGAGTGGAATCATGCAGTTCTAGATGTGTAGAATCTTAGGATTGCGTATACAGTCTTTCTTTCCACAGTTGTGATATAGGTCACTTGAAACTTGCCGTGTGTAATTCAAAGAAGTTATCTTTCAATATATATGAAGTGGTATTAGTGGCTTCAACCTTCATCAAAAATAAACTTCATCAAATGTGTATAGCACATTATTAAATGAGGAAATAATATAACAAAATATTTTGTCATTTGTTGAAACCCATGCAATGTTTTGACGCTACGACCTTTGTTTGTCCTGTATTTATGTTTGATTTTCTGTATAACGCTGAATTTTATCTGCTCAATGGCAATATTTGTATGGTTGATTTTTGACCAATAAATGTTCAAATAAAAGTTTGCCAATAGACAAATTTTGAGTTATAGCGCCCTAAGTCAGTTTCTGTGAGAAAACAGGGTTGTTTTCTTGCTCACACAATTTATCTGCTATTTTCCCTGCTTCCCAGTTATCTGGTGAGTTATCAAACATTTACACATAATGTGGCAATGAGTAACAATGCAAACTATAATACAAGAAAATATTCAACATTATCAAAACTCAAGTAAAATAACTCAATTTCAATTTATACATTTGTATTAATATTCCACTTTAATTACATGCTTTCAGTAACTTTGTCGTGGAAATAAAAGAAAGAAATAAACTTAGGTTTATTGATCTGCATTGACTGAATGAAAATCTTTTATACGCATGGATTGGTGACCTGGCATCCACTGTGCACACGATTTGGTGTTCTGAAACTTGATGACGCGCTTATCTTGAGCACATACTTTGATGACTCATCACTTTATGTGCACACATCATCGTTAGAGTGGGACTATGTTACACCTGAAGAATGAAAGCAGACATGATGGCATCTTATTAACAATGTCAAAAATCTGAAATAAATTTAAAATATCAAGATACAGTGCATATCAGAGTTCTCTCGGCGTTGCAGCTAATTTGCATAGTAATTAACGCTTTGAACAAGGAAACCTGCGTTAGGTCAGCTACTTATGTTTACCTCCTAAATAAGGTTATATTTTTGTAGTGTTAGTTAGGTAGACTGTGAAACAGTTTTGGTTTTGTTAAAAAAGTGGAGGCGGGCTATAGTTTTAAAACAAATTTTATTACAAGGTCATTTTGTATGTGTGTGTGAATAGTGATTACTTTTACAGTAGTCATCCAGGTACAGGCATATAGACTCAATAACAAAGCAACAAGAGATTTCATCTATTATTCAAACCTACCCAAGGAGACCTCTTCCACTCCATGTTTGTGGTTTCACTGCTAAATGGATTACTTCTCCATTTCTTATCACTGTCAGACTCACTGGTTTCTGATTGTGAGAAAATGAAAGTTTAACCTGTTAGTGTTAGGTCAAGAACTAATAGACTGGCAGAGGTTATCAAAAGCTTGTGTTGAATTGGTTGATATGGTTCCAACACTGCTCTAAAGTAATTTATTTTCATTTGGAATTTATTTTTGCTGTTTTTGCTGAAAGGGTGAATCCGTCCAATGAAAATACCTACCAGTATAACACATTTAACTCATCAAAAATTGGTGAAAATAAATTTATACAAAACAGCCAATATTTCTTTTCAGTGAAAATAAAGTATTTTCTAGTATGTGTACCTACATATACACATTTGAGTGGTGGGTGGCATCAAAAATATCACTGAACATGAAAAAAAAATTCAAAACATGAATATATCAGGTACAAATTTAAAAAAAAAAAAACTTTGTGCTGAGGTCACAGAATTTAAGTCAACTATTTGTGATGTCTTCTACCATTAAGTGAACCCCAAATTGATGAGAGAAAAAGCGGCTTATTGTACATTAATGATAAGCTGATAGAAGTCTTTCCAATAAACAACAAGACACTGAGAAAGGTAATCAGGAACAAAATGTTATTTGAGATAGCTTGAACTGTAGACATGCATTGTTATTATTATTATTATTATTATTATTATTATTATTATTATTATTATGTATACCTACCCCCTGACTGTGTTGTACAACCTGCCCTATGTTTTGAAGACTATGGAAGTTTTCCACGGTTACTGAACCAAACTTGATGACTTGATCACCAACCTCAAGACCCTGAGAATGAGAATGAGATGAGATGAAATGATGATATTGTTATAAAATACATAAATTCAAGCCCTGGCTATATTTCATCTATCAGAAATAGAATATGAAACCATACAATATGAATAGGTCCACTGTACATCAAAAGCAACTTCTTTCCAAATTGTACGATCTTTACACAAAATTAAAACAAATATATTAATTACACAAATTTATACCAAACAGAGAATTGACGCAAGAGATTGTAACACCGCTTACCCCGATGGAGGCAGGTGATTCAGGTGTAACAATATCGATTTTAGCAAAAGGTTTTCTATCCACTTTCTCTGTGGGTTTCTTCCCAGTTTCTGCAACTTGGTTTACTTTTTCTAAGCCATGTAACGCATGGAGACCTTTCTCTATCTGCTTCATCAATTCTTTATGATCATTTTGAAGACCTAAAAGGAAGCATAATGCACTTGTTTACTCTCAACAGTAGTGCCCTGACTTGCTTCATACTGCCCTCTGGTGTTAATGGTTATTTTTTTCATTTTTGGACACCAGGTGGCGCTATTGATGTCACATGGACATATTGACCTCTATAGTACATCAGTAGACAGACTCACTGTATTGTCTTTATGTAAACTGTATGATGTCCTCAAAATAACTTCATATTACAATATGAAGATTTAATATATCATTCATAATTCAACCCTTTGACACCATCATTTTTTCAACCAGAATTTTGGTTCAACATTTTGCCTATTTTTTGTTTTTTTTCTATAATATTTTTGATCATTTTGGACTAAATGGACATGATTTTTTATTAGCTACAGGCCTAAATCACAATTTTGCAAAATATATTTGTGAAAATTGAAAAAAGGTTAAGGAATGGTGACCATCACGCTGCGTCAATTTTGATATGTATCCCGGATACATTATTTGTTCATACAAGATTTAAACATGGCACTAGCCTTTAAATGTAAATATCATAAAATAGTATGTAGATATTTCAATGTGTTTTACAGTATGCATGTACTTGTATGAAGAGTAGTCTCCCTGTGTGACAAATATACTGTAAGGAACATTGTACTTGCTCTTATTTGAAGCGCATCTTCTGAAAAAATTAAAATAAGATTTAGCGCATACCGAATTATTAAAATATGACTTATGAACATAGAAACAGCTCTATAATTTACGTCAGCTCATGCACTACTAATGGAACAAATATGGTTATTTTCAATGAGATTTATTTCAATTATTATAATATTTTGAACATTTTACTGTGATTCATGCAATTGCCAATGAAGCATTGTAATTTCAAGTGTTCACATGGATTTTAGTAAATTTTACTGAATGCATGAATGCCAGCGATCCCATTGTGAGAATAGATATTTGATTTCAAATTAGTGACATCATGAATTAGCTAAATTAGCTAATTGACTGAAATAACATGTTAGCTAAAAAGACATGTATATTTCACAGTACCCGTCAGTTGCAGTTTCCGTTTACTTACATATTATGTTATGTCTCGCTGTCCGGACAGAATAGATATCAATGTCATTTCTTGGGTAGCCATCACTGTCTATCAGTGCACCATCCATACCAACACCTTGTTGCTGAGAAAATCACATTATTATACATTAACACTACCGGTACTATGTAAACAGTCTGATAATAATAGAGTATCAGTAATACTCTATTGTGTTTTATTGACACAGAAACTCAGCTTAGAGTAACTATAGCGCTATGTTGGAAAAAAATTGAAGATATCACCAGTGCTCAAAATGACTCTGAGTAAACATTCACAGATAAACTGTTTTCTGGTTGTTAGAAAACGATTCGATACCGCCGATAAGCCAGAAAATAACCCATTCCATTTATACAAGTGTCAATGGCAGTTGAATCCAAAGAGTCAATAAACGAGGGCAGTGCATATTAAATAAAGTTACTTGAAATGTTCCAATGTTATTACGTCAGCTAATACAAATGTCTTGTTTCTTTCTGAATTGTGTAATTTTTGAATATTTATAAAAAAAATTTTATCTAAAGAGCTTTGGTCGCTCTTCAATTTAATTTTTAAATTATAGAAAGTGTTAAATCAAATGAATCAATATTGAAGATTTAAATTAAATTAAAGGGTAGTGATAGCAAGCACAGCTTGTACTCGAATTTAATGCAAACAAACTGCTAGTATGTATTATACACATGTTGTATACGTCCCTATGAGACCCATATCGAACAGGAAGCAGCACGACAACTGCCACCCTTTAAAGTCAAGAAGATGTAACACAATTTATTGGTAAACACGTATTCTTACGCCTGCTGCATAGATCCAAAGTTGAAATATTATTAATTTCTGTGTAATGTGTCTCATGAATATTCATTCGTCCATGTGGGTTTTAATTTGTCAATATTAGATATACATGTTTCCACGTATTTTTTAAAAAAAACGTTCATGGTCAGCCTAAGGTGGATTTCAATCATCAATGTTGATGTTTTAAATCAAAATGAATATAAATTGAATATATCCTTGTATTTTTATAAACTTTTCACTCATGACAGCCTGTTGTGAATTTAGTCGTCAATATTTTGGTGAAATTTGAGCATATCAAATAAAAACGCAATATTGACAAACAAATACAATCTATTTCTATTTATATACCCACGATTTAAAGTGAATTTAAATATATAAGGATTTCACACTTTCGGCACCATACTCGTGTTCTCAAGTACGTGTCGTCAGATATAAACAATACATACAGCGGGCGGGTACTAAGAATCATAACAATGAATTGGCAAGATTCAGGAGAACGCCCGACTTTGTCAAACACGTCACCAGATATCATATACACTAACAAATACTGAGAACAACGTTTTAAATACCTTACCGAGTCAAGTACTTCGTAAAGTTCCTTGATTTCTTTCTCAATTGCATCTTTTTTGTCAACGAGCTCTTTTAAACGTTCTTTGATGGAGGCAGACATCTTGAATCACTTCTCAGATTAGACTTTGAGGGCAGTGTTTTGACGCGAGTAGAGCAAGCAAAATGATACTTCGTCACGGTCATAGAGGGACTGTGCTTTCGCGCCAGTTTCTGTAAAATTGGCCCAGAATGTACAGTTACATTGGACATATGTCAGACCAGAAGTGGCGGCGTCTTTTTAGGAGGGATAACCAACCTTGCCATATTTGTTTTATTTCCGGACGACCACAAAAAATACTTTTACCGATTTAGGATATGATAGAATATTTTATTTGGAACATGCACAAACCAAAGCTTATGCAAAGTCCAAAGACATAAATAACAAAATAGCGCAAAAATAAATAACTTCTCATCGGAAAGTTTGTCCATCTCTGGCAAATAAATAAATAAAAATGCGAGAAATTTCAACCTATTTTTTTCTTTGATAGTGCAATAGTGCCTACATTTTTTAAAGTAATGTAACATGTGTCCAACTGAATTGCAATCACAAAAATGGCGAATTCTGTTATCTTTATTGTCAATCCCTACGTGTCTTCGTAATTCTAGTTTATCTCTCAGGCTGAATGTGCGAAAATGACTGAAAATGCTTTTTTGTGTGTATATTTTGAATTCGATGCTAATCCAATGCTTATCCGATTCTTCGAATGCTAACCTCACGCCGGCTGCTGTGAAACTGAAGTATCTAATACAGACTCTTTAATTCTATGAATACTCGTTGCATTCAAAAGAACGTCTAACATCATTGATAACTTCGTAATGAAAAAATGAGACGTCATGCTAAAATGGTAAAAATATATGTCTAAATTTTTTTGTTAAAACATCACTACACAAAATCAAATTTTATTGCGAGCACCACAGGCTGGTAGAACTGTTTGCGTTGCGCCATCAACGTCAACAAAAGTAAACAACTGCACGGTAAGAATTTTATCAATAAAATACGTTTTGTATTATACTTAAAGGCTTTATTATTTTGTAATTTAAAAAAATTAAATATTTTTCAACGTAGTTTACGTGTACAGTACGTCGTTTTTAATGACGACATTATTGACATGACGCAACGCGAAACAAAGAAAAGGATTTGCATGGCGGTAGCATAAATTATGCGACATAAACAAAATGGATGTCTCTGCTGTGGCGATGTGAGCCAGGTAGGTGACAAAAACGCCGCTTTAAAATTCACATCGCGCGCTTATCTGTCCTGAATTACCGTCGCGAATGGGTGCGTTATATCTCCACATGCACCGCCTTTTGTTGTTTTCATCACAAAACTGTTTTAACGTGAAAACAGTCGTTGTTATTTTAGCTCGGTTCTTTAAAATTGTTATTCAAAATGGCGTACAGCCAGACGAGGAAAAATTGAGTAGTTTATGCATTTGTGTATTAAGTGTACAGACATTGAAATATGGGCCATATGGGGACCATAAACTCCAGATAATAAGACGAGAACTCTTAGTTTGACGAGGCATAGACAGTTTTTCTGAAGATATTTGTGATTTGTTTAAAAAAAGTTAAGTTCCATCGGGTTGTTTTGGCATTGGCAGCTGATTTCATATTTGGAAAGTTCGTCGACCGGTGTCATTGCCCCCTGACGTGACCGAGTTACAGAAATCAAAGCAAGTTTATGTATCGTCATTTTTGTTTCTTCTATATTATCGTTTCAGGTTTCATGACAAACAATTCAATGTCGTGAGCACTTACACCAACTATGGCAGACACTGAAGGAGAATCCACGGTCAAGAACTCTGAAAACCACACTGACAATAACCACATGGAAGTTGAGATTTGCAAAAACGATGGTTTAGTCAAAAATGATAAATCAGCAGGAGATGCATCAACAAGTTGTCATGACAACAACACTGAACTAAATTCAGAGGGGATTAAATCAAATGACATCAAACTACAGAATGTTTGTGATGAAGATGGGGGGAAGGGAGACGCACCCTCCAAGCCAGTGGAAGACACATCGGCAGATGTTGTCTCGTCCAAGGCTGGTGGCACTTTCGAAATATCTCCCTCCTCTAGTAGTAGCAGTGATGAAGGGGGCACATCACATAAATACAAAACAAAACACAGAACTGAAAACACATTCAAAGATCTTGAAATGGGTGATATAGATGAGCCAGTGGAAAACGAGGAAACAGGAGCATCAAATCAAGATGACGGCCCAAAAGCAGAAATCCTTAATAAAGTTAAAACGAGTGAATTAGACAGTGATGACGAGAGTGATGCAGACGATGACCGGCACAGTGAGACGCGAAGTGGTGGCAGTGACATTGAATCTGAGCCAGAGGACATAATCGAGCAGAAACCGCTTCCGTGCAACTGGTATGCATGGTCGTACATACGTGACCGAGAACTAGGAAATAAAAAGAACATGTACAGCTACAGCTCAAATGCGATTGGCAGCGCATCCTTCGTCCAACGTTTTAAACGTCAAAACACGTTAGACTATCACCAAGGATGTGTGAATACTTTACACTTTAACCCGGCCGGGAATTTACTTGCAAGCGGCAGCGATGATTTGGAGATCGTACTTTGGGACTGGGCTCATGGTAAACCCAATTTAGTCTACCAAAGTGGTCATAAAAGTAATGTGTTTCAGGTGAGTTGCATCAAAACGTACACGGTAATAATTTATTATGAGAGAAAATATTTGTGGGGCATTCAGAACATTGTTTTCAAATAATGTGGGCAAGCATTATGCAAGTCTAATACCATATTTGCTCTATTGATTAATAGCATAACTGACAGGTCAAGTTTTATTGATCTATTATATGTTAAATGCAATTTTTAGTTCAAATGCACGTCTGCTTGAAATGCACTTCTAATGGAGCAAATACGGTAGTGATAAAGTAACATGACTTGAAATGCTGCTTAAAATATAAGTTGAGCAACATTTTTGTTTTTCGCATTGAGTATTTCTGGAGACGGAATCAGTGTTAGGGTTTAGGGTATGTAGGTTAGGGGTATGTGTAATGCAGGTGGCAATGGGGGGGGGATGTGTTTAAAATTGTGATTCTGACATTAATACTGATGGTTACTGAACCTGCTATTATATACATCATCTGAAATCTTGGTTTATAGATGAATAAGGTAGTGCATACGCCGTACCACCATTTGTCTAAGGGATGATCTTACGATCGATTTTGCTATTGAGTTTTTTTTGGACTAGTACTGTAAAATCTGTATTAGAAGCTGTGACTTCTATTGAAATGGTAGAATGCAACAGAGGGGATGCGGCTTCTATTAGAGCCATCTACACATATGAGAAATGATAAATTTTTGGTTCTTAAATAATTGTTCAAAAAGAAAGGGTGCAACTTCTATTAGGGATGTGGCTTCTAATACAGATTTTATGGTACCAAATAACTAGACACGCTACTGATAATATGTCGTCAGTAACATGTCTGTCGTTATTTGATCAAAGCTAGAATACAAAAGCTGATACAGAAAAACTGAGATGCGCACATCTAGTCAACATTGTTAGGAACATCCTGTGCAATTCCTGCAAAATTGGCCTTCAGGTAATTTATTGGAAAAACATTGGAACGGCATTCGTCTATATCTAAGCTTTCAGATGATGTATAGGTTGTTAGTAACTTTTAGAGAATATCTGAATCACAGATCAATTTGTATCCCTGTTGTTACCATAAGTATCGTCATTGTTAGACATTGTATGAAATAATATTTATTTACGTACCAGTTTCATATCAAAACTCTGCATCAATACCAGCAGTTTGTAGCAAAAAGCACCACAAAACATTTTTGAATCCTGGAGTTTTTTTGTCGCAGTGTGGAGTCACCTCATAATGTTGTCAACTGATGCCAAGAAATGCCCATAAAAAACTGATCATTTATTTCTTTATTACTTGATGCATAGACTCCAGAAAACATGTTTTCAAAGTCTAATATTCAGGGCTCTCCATGGTTTGGAAATTAAACTCCAAGGGGCAGGTGGAGTGGGCGTGGCACTTGACCTTTGACATGATATTTTGCAGGGTGTCTATCAATGGGAGGGAATCACTAAAATTGTAACATGGATCATTGGCATAGATGTAGATGTTGGAATACTCCCGCTATTATTGTTTCAGCCTTGAACTTTTAATCTGTATTATAAGTTTGGCTAACTGAAGTATAAAAGTTAGGTAAAATTATTAGTAGTTAGTAGTCTTGGTAACAGAAATGTAAGCTGATATTAAATATTTAATACGGAACAGTTTTCAGAAATGAGAAATTTAAAGTGCTATTATAAATGTATCAAGTAATTATTTTTCATCTGAAATCAGCTACACATCATCACAGCTACATCAGTTGTTTTTACTATTAATGATAGTCCAAAAAGAGACAAATTGTTTGTCAATTTGTCAACCAGTTACCCATCATTTCTCTGTTACATGTGTGAAGTTGCACATACCACCGCAGCCCATCTTTAATAACAGTTTGTGATGATCTGTATTGTAAAGCATTGTGTCTGGGACCAGGGTCCAAAGGAAATATAGCAGGGTACTGACATTTTAAACAGGGCGCCAATTTCAGATAACAGGGCCTTGTAAACTCCTTGTGGGAGAACACAGTGATTTAGATGCTTTAGGTGAACTTGCTTTTGGGATCAAAACTGATTTGGATTGGCTATCTTGCCAAATTTTTGGGGAACTTTCAGTTCAGGCTATCCTTTTCACCACCAGTTCCCTGTTTTCAGGGAAGCATTATTTAATTCAGTTGACTCTAGGTGGCACTGTTTGTGAAAGTGCATTTCTTTGTTTTGGAATACTGCATTTGCACTTTCTAAAGTACTTAAAAGCTTCTTTTGTAGGAATTTCAATCACACCAAATTCACAGATTTTGTTGGGAATGTAAATATATTATATACATCTAAAAGAAATCCTTGTAAAAATATCAAAATCTATTGTAAAACATCTTTGACATATTCTCTTGAGGGTTTTCCAAGTTAAGTCATTCATTGTGGTGAACACCCTGTTTTTTATCGTATTCAACAAATCATTTGGTTCATACATGTACATATATGTACTTGTGACCATTGTTTGGAATATAATTTCGTAACACTACTTACCGATACTTGAAAGGGTAGTTAATTTACATTTTATCAAAATGTCCTGCATGAAATTCAAATCCATTTTTAAGGTTGGGCACCGAATTGTAGCAGAGTCCTCCCTTCCCTCCTCAGCTACTAGGTTGAGCATAAAAGAATTTTTTTTTTTTTAATTATGATTAACTCTGGATTGTCTATGGCTTGTGTGCTGGTGTGAATTTAAATTCTTAGTAACAATACTATGTTGTTTTATTGTTACAGGCTAAGTTTATGCCATACAGCGGAGATACCACCATTGTCAGTTGTGCCAGAGACGGACAGGTAAGTAATTTGTACATTACGGAAACATGTGTATTAGTCAAAGCAGTTCTCGGGTGCTTTTATGGAAGAATTGTTTATTTTAGCTGTCATCAAGGACAAGTGGGGTCAATTGCTGAATGAACCTTGGCATTTTCAACATATTCTTGAAAAATGTCAACTTAGATGGTCTTTCCTCTGATTTGTTTTTTTTTTGTGATGATTACATCAATTCTTTTATTTTTGTAAAAATGGCTTGCCTAATTGCTTCATTATTTTAAATGTAGTCACTTTAGGGGAACCTTTCTCAGATTTGTTGATTTTGTGATGATTTTCTAATTGTAGTGAATATTTCTCTTATTTTTGGTAAAAAGGAGGTTTCTGACTTGCTTTGATATTGTATACCTTGGCTGGACCTCTATAAAATTTGTTGATTTTTTAATGATAACTTAATATATATTTTCCTAATCTTAGTAAACATTTTTGTAATTTTCAATAAAAAAATAAACAAACTATTTCTGAGTTGTTTTTGAAAACCAACAGCCTAATTGTTTTGAAATTTCACATGGTAGATACTTTGGATGGGTCGCTGTCGGATTCACTCCTCCATCAGACTAGTATCATTCATTTTGTGTAGATAACTACATTTTGCTTATTTCAATGAATATCCTTTTTATCTTGAAAATATATAAACTGATAGATATATTTCTTTCCCATTATACATCAGAAACGGTGGATATATCAGCCAACACTTTTCTTATTTAATAACATGTAATTACTGTGGAATACTTTATTTTCGCTGGAATTAAATTTCGCTGAAAAGGATTTTGGGGCGTTTTGCTTGGAATTTATTTTCACTGATTTTTGATGAGATTAATGTGAAATATAGGAAAAAATATATTCGCTGGATTTTATTTTCATGGAATCATCCCTTCAGCGAAAATAGCAAAAATAAATTCCAAGCGAAAATAAAGTATTCTACAGTAGTATAGATTGAGTTGCTACTAATTAGTAGGGTAGACTACAGTTGCTCATTTCATTAATAATCCATTTCTGGCACGTCCTTAATGTCAAACACGTGATAAGAAACTTCGTCTGCAGTGATGTTTTTCCTGCATTTCATTTGACCTATTAGGTTGAGTCAGTTATTTAAGGTAAACCATATGACACAGTGCCTATTATTGGGTGATAAAAGGGCAAGGCTGGGGATGTGGGCAATGTTATGATGCAATAATGGGCTGTGCAAAGTTCTTTATTTCAATTCAATACCCTGGACTGACAAAAAAATTAATTTTCGCTGAAAAGACGTTTTGGGTGTTATGTACATGTTCATTTACACTGATTTTTGACGATTTGAATGTGAAATATAGAAAAAGAGTATATTCGCTGGATTTTATTTTAATGGAATCATCCCTTCAGCTAAAATAGTGAAAATAAATTACAACCGAAAATTAGGTATTTTACAGTATGTCATATTTACTCTATTACCGTAAAATCTGTATTAGAAGCCGCATCCCTAATAGAAGCTGCCCCCATTCTTTTTGAACAATTGAGACACAAAAATTCACCATTTCTCATATGTGTAGATGCTCTAATAGAAGACACATCCTCTCTGTTGTATTGTACCATTTTAATAGAAACCTTGGCTTCTAATACATAATTTACAGTAGTAGTTCATGTGCTTATAACAGTTTATAACAGAGGTGTTTCTATGATCAAAATAAATGTGAGTTGATTTAGTATACAACAGATGCCTTTCTAGTGAACTGATCAACAAACGAGAATGTAGCGTTGATAACAGGCAGTGTAGGGTATAACAACTGAAAGACACACTGCTGTGGCTTTGCCTTTACCAGAGGTTCAATTCTTTGTATACATATACAATGTACTATAATAATGTTGGTAATTGTGGTGTCAGCAGGTCATATTATTTACAACATGTGTACCATCATCTTTGATATACGTTTGGGTTCTGACATATTACTGTGACTGTCTGAATACTCCCAGCTTACCCATGCAGTAAATATGCTTTCACATACCAGTAATAACATATAACATCACTTACAACAAGCGTGAATGTTATTTATTCATTTAATTATTTATTTCATTTGTTTATTCATTTGTTTCTGCAGTATAATTATTTATGTATCTGTTGGCTTTAATTTATTTGTTTGTTTTAGTTAGTTTATTTGTTTTTGTGTTAAATTATTTTTTTTATTTAGTTATTTAATTTAATAATTATTGTTTTATTATTTATTTGTTTAATTAATATTTATTTGTTTTGGGGTTAATTTTTTTTCCATACTTAGTAAATTATTCTTCAATTATTTCTTTTTTAATGTGTACACTTTTTATATAATTGTTTTATTTTTAATTTTTATTTAATATTTGTTGTGTTAAGGATTTGTCTGGTTTTTCTAAATTATTTCATTACCATAGCAACTATAAATACATAACACCTGACACTATTTTAGTTACTTATTAGTTTGTCTGAATGGAAAATGTTCATGAATAAAATAATCACATTGCATAATGCTTAGTGACGGCATTAGTGAACTGAAAATATTAGGGCTAAAACAAAACAAAAATTAGTAATTTTGCATGTCTTTTCATTCTTGTTTCTACGACAATTTGTGAAGATGAAAGAAAAAAATTTGATAAAAAATGCTTTGTTAGTCCCCATTTGGATGTAGTAAAAAGTGGGTCTTATGGATTGACATCTGTGTGTGTGTGTCAGTCAGTCTGTCCATCTGTCTGGTCATTTGAATCTGTATCTTGGATGTGCCTTGGCCAATCACATTCGAACTTAGCTCACACACCATATATCTTGGGATACATAGGCACATGCATTTATTTATGATAGGATTCAAGATAGCTGAATGACAGCCATTAAATGCTAAAAATTCACCAAATCAAGCATTCCTTTCATTCCAGAACCTGATCTTGGTTGTTTATGGTTGGATTTTGTTCAAACTTTGTAGATATATACACTGGACATTATGCGACCTTAATGCACATCATTTTGTTTTTAAGATTATAAATGGCCAATTGGCGGTCGTTTTAATCAATGTGGTTCCAGAACTGTATCTCTGACATAGCTGACTCATTTCAGTTTTGTTTTCTGTATATTGAACCAACAAGGACTATGTCATCACATTACTTGTTTTTAATATTACAGGACAAGAAACCAATTTTGTTAACCTAACTATTCTGGTTTTTCATCTACAGGTACGTGTGGGTCACCTGTCAAGTACAGGTGTATGTAAAGAAACTAGGAAATTAGCGCAACATAGAGGAGCTGCTCATAAGGTAAAACACAATATTACAAGTATTTATTAAACTGTTTGATTGGTTATACACTTCCCAGTATATGAGAGGTACTGTACAATCTGTATTAGAAGCTGCGTCTTCTATTAAAATTGTACAATGCAACAGAGTCGATGCGGCTTCTATTAGAGCATCTACACATATGAGAAATGGTGAATGTTTGCTTCTCAATTGTTCAAAAAGAATAGGTGCGATTTCTATTAGAGATGCGGTTTCTAATACAGATTTTACGGTATTTCCTGAAGCCAAGTATTTCTAGTTCTGTTGACATTTTTGACGAATTAAGGGTATCTCAACGCCGTATTTCTCTCTGAAAATCTGTAATTTTTACATTGAGCTGTACAAAAATACAACTCAAAATCAAACCATTTGGTTTTTATGGCAGAAGTTGAGTTTGAGCCAATGTACGTTTGTACATGCCTTGTAGGCTTTTAAGATGTGTAAATAACGCATGAAGATTTGCTGTGATGCTTAACAAATTGTACATTGATATAGTTATCTTGAAAAAATCTTGTAATTTGGTAAAAACAAAATTCATATTTTCTGAACAAAATAAGAGTAAATATGAAAGAAATTAGGAGCCTTAATTCACCTATAGAGTCACATACATTGTTTTTTTTTTTGGAAAACTTACTAACCCAGTGGTCAACAAAATGACTCAACTTGTTTTTTTGGGGGGGAGGGGTTCTATTTTGACTTAGAATCCTTGCAAAATCAGTCCAGTTAGAGGGCACACTAGTTTGTGTCTTTCATGTACTATGTGAGATCAAGTGGTGACCCAAAAATTGCATATACAGACTTGCATGTAGATATTTCCTTCAGTGTCCTACATTTGATACATTGTATAAAGGGAATACATAGTAAGGTACTGTAAAGTTGAAATAGCTATGTACCATTTTACCAAAATGTAAGAATTAACAGAATCGCAATTTCACTGAAGTGCCAACAATCTAATTGTGAGAATACACTTTCTTTGAAATTAGCTACATCTTGAATTAGCGAAATTACAGATTAGCTAAATTAGCTAAAATAACATGAATAACATGCTTAGCTAAAAAG